TGAACTCATTACAAACAGTATTTCCTCATAGATAAATCACGAAACAGACAAAGCACAAATCATTCGAACAAAACAAATGAATACATTTTGATGTTACACCACACACAAACGTATGTACATGAAAGTACTCCCTGATAACGATGCATAGACACAGGGAAGACCGTCTAGCTGTCCTGCCAAACAGACAGCATAGTGATAACATGACAAATGTCATTGGCAGGCACCAACCGCTCCATGCACTCCTGCTGGCGAGGCACAATCCTGCATTTACACTCCCTGGTTAGTCGGCGTGGCAGCTCCAAAATGGACCGCATCACTTCTCACCTTTGCTGAATCACACTCTATCACAAAATACGGACCTCAAAACCACGACAACATAGCAAATAAAATCCTTGCGTCTATGTGTACTTTTGTTTTTCGTCTCTCCGGTGCAGTTGAAGCCGGAGAGGTCAGAGCGACAACCTGCTTCGTTTACGTCAACGGGCCGAGGCAGGCCATGCCATCACAACGCGTAGTTCTGCCTGACTACTGGAAACGCTGCATGGACATTGTGAAGTATCACATCATCTGATCTGGGTTTTTCACTGCCATCACCAAGTTGTCAAATAAATGATGTCATTTCTGAATAACTTGATCAAAGTTAGCTCGGCTTACTGTTTTGCCAAACATAATTTGTTAAGCCTTTAAGTCCGACATTAAAGAATAGAATCAATCAAATTCTTTTGTGTGTGACGTCAGACAGGTAGATAACTTTGATAATATGTTGTCTCTGGTGGAAAAAACTTATCTTTTTTTTTTTATCTGTTTAACTTTTTTTTATTTCAGAAGCATACCTTAGGGCCTAAGGCTTAGGTCATCCAAGTTTGCTTATAACTGATTGTAAAATAAGACATCTAAAAACATCTAAAAATAAAAACTTCTTTAAAGTTTTGATGCTGTGTGACACTCCTGACACATCCTCCTAAAGTAGTTGATGATGTCAGGAACACCTGTGTGCCGACCGTGAGCGCCGTGCAAGAGATGGTAAATGACAAAACGACTTGGAAGAAAAGCACTCTGATCTCACTACAGAAAAAGTCAGGGGCAATATAACGTCCACACACACAAATGCATACACATAGTGATAGAAGTACATATTTACATCATGCCCCTACTGAACTTGTTGTCTGTTTCTGCTTCCAGAGGGGCTGAGTGGTGTTGGGTACATTGCCTAAACATATGCAAACTCATCCTGTCGCTCCTGTCTAACGTCAGCCTGTTTACTTCAACGCTCTTGGAGTCACTCTGTTCTCTCTCTGCACATTATTAAAGTTCTGCATATATGAACGGCGCTTCGGCTCCTTCTGGGTCAAAGCTGTTTTTACTCTGAGGTGTTTTTTTTTTTTTTTTCCAGGAAGGCTGTCAGGAGCGTGGGGAATGTTTTGAGAGAAAAGGTGCCATGTGTGCAATACACTGGTTTACAAAGTTTTACGAGCAGAGAGTAACTTCTGCCATCAAGAAATGTATAAGCAGTTTCTAAAATTATAGTGAGGCACATATTCTGTGAAAAAAAAAAATCAAGCTCCTCTGCTTCCTCCCTGTGGCTCTACTGCCATCTGCAGAAATACACCTGGTTCCTATTCCCACAGTGGAGCCGGCCCTGGATGTCCAGGCAAGTTTGTATGACAGATTAACACTTTTCCAGCTAATTTTTATGGTTTTCCGCCATTAGTGCATTGAGCAGCGCGTACATGATCCTGATTGACAGAGTTAAGACCTTCCTCCTGGCTCTGATTGGCTGTTTCTGACTGAGGAGTGCATTTCTGCAGATGGACGTACAGGAACAGGACCACAGGGAGACACAAGAGAAGCTCTGGTAACACTTTATTTGAAGGGGTGTGTAAAAGACTGGCACCTGTCATGATCATGGAGCATTTCTGAATGTTTGTGACTGTTGTCATGAAGTGTCATTTGGTAAATAAAGACATTTTTAATGCATAGTTGCATTAAAAGTGTCAAATTTGCATTGTTTGGTATATAATGACACTTTCAAAGCGAGGTTGCATTAAAATTTGCAAATTATTTACCGAATGACGCTTCATCACAGCAGTCATAAACGTTTACGAAGACTGCTTCATGTTCATGACAGGTGTTACATCATGTTTATGACATGTCAGTTTTATGCATATAAACATATTCTTATAAAAGCTTCCCACTGCCGATTAAGATTTTGGTAAATTTTGACATTATACTTCTTTCATGTTCGGTCCATTTTATTGGGGTTGTATTGGCCACAGAAGTTTGGTAGAGAACACCAGTGAACAAACAACTTCATGAATATCAGGGAGCTCATCAGATCATTTATGTCCCTGTCATAAATCAGAAATTAAGTTGTGGAGAGATTTGGTGTTATGGGTTATAAAGCAATACGACTAACAAGTGATGCTTACTGTACACTTTGACATGACACGCATGTGGAAGAAGGTGGTTTATATATGAGAAAAAGATTTCATAGCCACCCAGAAGCACGGTGGTGCCAGCATCATACTGTAAGATGGGAGATGGATGATTTGTAAAATATTTAGAAATTGCCTCATCTTTTTTCTTTTACTTTACATTGTGTGCACACTACCGAGTGTCTGACTGTCAAATAAAATCCCAGTACAGTGCAGTGAAGTTTGTGACTGCAAGAAAAAAGAAAAAAAACAAACTTCAGGTAAGTTGTTGTGCGAAACAACGAGGGGAATAAAAACAGGCCTGACCACTTTCTATTCATAGAAACACATTTTTTGAGTGTAAATAATATCCATTGCACTTGTCTTTTGTTGTAACAGAAAAAAAATGTCCATGAATGAAGAAATAATAGCAGGCATTATCAGGTTACTGAAGTTCACACCCTTTTCAGTGAATCTTACAATGACTATTGTCATGAAAACTGGAACAACTCAATAACACAATGCAGCTGTTTTTGCTCATCTGTCTCCTGAATCTTTTTCTGTTTCTATTTTTTTGTGGGAGGATCGTATCTGACACACCTTCCCTTGAGGATGTGGCAATAAGCTGAGAGGCAGAAGAGCGGTGTCATAATCCCAGGGTTCATAGCAACAGGCCGTGTTGCAGATTTAGCTTTAACTGGTTGTTTGCTCTCTTGTCTCTGTCACCATCACTCAAGTTAAAAATGGATGCAAACATAATCATACAAGCAGACAGTTGGTATCTCTTGGAATCATTTTTAATAAGTTGAATCATCAAGTGTGTTGCTGCCATTTTTGTTTGGGCTGATGATTTCAGAAATTGCACTAAAGACCTCGTCCTGCAACCGCATTACCCTCTGAAGCGTCACTGAGCTTTACATTTCTACCAAAGACAAGATGAGAGTCGTGCAGAACATGTAAGCTTATGCGCTTTAACACACATGAAAACACAAAATGTTACTGATCTGCAAAGCTCATAAACTGCTTTCATCATGGGTCATTACAAGCTTCAGATGATAAGCCCTGTTTGCAACACTTGATCTTTCTCCGACGCAAAATCCATAAGTAACAACGCGCACCACTGCTAATGTATGCCGTAAGATATGCTTTACACTCTTTCTCTAAGCGCAGTTCTGCAAACGTTGCAACGTTGTTTACATTGCCTGCATTATATCTAATTAATGAAAAACAAATCATGGCAATGAATATATGATGGAAATATATACAGTCGTATAGTTATGAGGCTTAAACAAAGCAGAGCACTTATCAGCTTGCAAAGTCACCATGTTTATTAATTAGAAGTGTTTCTTGGAAATGCTAAGTGACCGTAAAGAGTTGACATTGGAACAGTTGCTGCTTGGGAAAATAAACCAGCAGCCTGCTGCTGTTTGTACGGTGAATGCTGCTTTCTTCAACGATGCACTTGCTCCTTTTCCTTAGTGCTGCATGCTTCCTGGACACAGATGGAGAATCGTTTATGCAGTGATTTAATCATCCCTAAAAACAGACAGAAAATAACTGTTCATAAATTAATGCTGTGCTCAGATTTTTTATTTGTTTTATTTTTTTTTGCAATTGTGCAAGAAAATTTCTCCAACCTTTCAGAGTGGACTAAACTTTTCCCTGTTCTCTAGGTTGTAAAACTGCCTCAATTGAGGATAAAAAAGAGAGAGTTTAATGTGTGTTCAGCAGGATCAATTTATTTTATTGATCTTGGACCACAAACAAAAAAAAAATCTCTTAGAGAACCATGAGTAGAAGTAAACACTTCTCACTGGTGTCCCTGTCATAAATCTTCCTATCTGCTTCAGTGTAATCTGATCATGACCTTGGACATCTTCCACAGGCCTGGAGTTGCTGTAATTACTATGGTGCTTTTGCAATAGAGCTATGTGGATTTTTCTTTTGTTTCCTTCAGAAAAAGAAAAAAAAAATCACAAACATGAACAGAATTAACCTAAGGGAAAACTTGATGTATTTTGGAAGTCAGAAAGATATAAAAAAAACAATTATTTGATTGTGCAAAGCTGGTAGAGAAACACTGGCAAAAGTGCGATGAAAGATGGTTCTGCAAAACATTGACTCAGGCAGGCTTAACACAAATGTCTGGTTTTTATTTGTAAAAAGTTTCACTTTCTACCAATACATACTTTTTCACTGATTCATGTTTGTCTTTCATATAAATTCTAAGAAAAAACCTCATAGGTTTGTAGATGTGACCTGGAAAAAGTAAAAAAAAAAAGAAAAAGCTCAACGGGTGATGTAATGGATCTGTTTTGAGGTCAGAGGTTAAAATGTGTACAGAGGCAGAAGGCTGAGTAAAACAGACAGCTGTCTCTTTCATGGTCTTAAATCAGCTTGAAATCCTTATTTTAAAAGATTCAAACGCTTACGCTTCACACTCCAAAGACAGTCTGTGAGCTCATTGTTTTTCAAAGCCGTCTGTCATGAGCGAGTGACCCCAACTGCAAGCTGCTTACGTAATCGTCCGGGAGCCGCCGTCGCAGGACAAAAACCTCCGAGTTGCAAAAATGAGATCAGCGTGTCTTCATGTAAAATATGTGCTGCATTATTTATTGACAGTGTTACACAATCTCCATTCTCAGCAGCAGAACTTGTTTTACTTGAGAGGTACAATGATTAATCTAACTACAGGAAAAAAAAAAACAAGTCAACAAAATATACATTCAAAAAAAAAAAAGAAACCAACTTTTACAAAATAAATTTAGTACATTTATGTATATATGTGAACAGAGGTGCAGTAAAAACAATGTACAGTATCAAATACGTATATGAAAATGATCGATTACTTAAAAAAAAAAAAAACTTTTTAGTGCAAAGGTTTTACAATATAAAAATACTGTCTTGTAACGTCTCTGCATGAAGTGAGAGGGTTAGAGGTGGGTGTCGGCGATGGGGATTCTCCTCAGCTCGACGATCTGGGAGTTGGCAATGCTGCCTCCGTCGTGGCTTCCAGGTATGGACTCGTTATCGCTAACGTTAAGGCCGGTCCCTGAGACAGAGGCGACAAAGTGGAACAAGCAAACCGTGATTAATTGTGCTTTAGCTGCAGGGATTTTCACAGGTGCCCAATCTAGATTATGTTGTGCACAGATTATTTTTGCACGGGTCGGAAAAACGTACGTCTGTGTCATCAGTTTAGCGAGTACCTTTAGTGCAGATGTGCTGTTAAGTAACATGACCCTTATCACTGAGTACACTGTACTTTACTGTACCTGTGGCGCCATAGCAACAAGACGAGGACAGAGCAGACAGATGGACCCTGATTGAGAACAGGAAGGATCTTTTATGTCAAATGTAAGCCATGCAGTGGGCCTGCTGGTAAAACATTGACGAACTGAGCGATCAATAAACAGGGCTGGTTTTGACACATGGTGTTGTAAAACCCGTTAAAACAGATTCTGTAATTTTAGCTAGATCTCAGCTGGGTAAACAAAGGATAAATAATACTTGTGACTAATTCACAAGGAAATGCATTGTAATAGAATAAAGTAAAACAGAAAAGATACCAGTTTTATTTACCAAATGTCAACAAATGAAATGATTGCCTTGATTAGTTTTAATACTGATTTCTTTGCACAGCATAAACTCTCTGTGCTGGCCTGTGATGGGCCTGTACCGATGACTGCTCAAGATAATCTATTCGATCCTGAACCGGGTTATTCTGCCCTGAAATGGACATTTTTTTTTAAAACCCACTAAAACTTTATCCCCGTGAAAAGGACTAAAAACCGCAACATAGAAACTAGGCAACATGACAATGTATCTGGTTAAATATATGTCTACTGTTTGAAGAATGCAATATACCTTACGTCCTTTCATGGACAGAGGGGAGGACTCGTCTATTTATGAAACAACTGCTTCTATCAACAGCGTACGTGCGAGCTTCTGTATGTTTGCACGTTAATGGTTGACTACCAGATGAAGTGCCTGAAGACCCTTATTACAGCTCTGCTTGCTGACCCCTGTCAGGTGTTGCCTCGTATATAACCCCGATTAGCAAATTATCTTTCCTGCTGACTGAGCTGCTGAGATGAACTGTAGCTGTACGTTCAGTTTGATACGTTTGATTGCACAGAGAGGTGGGGTCGGCTGGTTCAGCCACACCGTTAAAACCTGCGACGTACGACTGATTCAAACAACAACCTAATCTCTACATAAATCAGCCAATGGCGCGGCTTCGAGCCGTTGAAAACTGGCCTTGTCTACACTGAAAAAAGTGAATTTATAGTGCTGATGTTTAAAAGCTGATCACCTGGAAGGTTAAAGTTCAGCAGAACGCAGCATGGATGCCTCGAGAAAAGAAACAGCCCAGAGACAACCGAGTGAAAAACATGCACACGTCTCTGTTTCTTTCAGCACATAATAAACAGGAGGGCAGGAGAGTCGGAGCGTGTTTTTTCTACTCGCCGTGTAAGACTATCCTCTGGCCCTTCTTCACTTATTAACACCCATTGGTCTCTAAAACCCAACACCTGCCAGGAAGGACTTCTAATTTGGCAATCTCCATGGTTACAGGTGTCGTTTTCCTGACGCAGGATAGCATGTCTCAAACAAAATAAAACCTTGTAAGTGTATTTCAAAATTATAAAAGAGTGGTCTGTGTCTAAAGCAGGTCAACAGTGGGAAAACACTGACTCATGAGTTTGTTTTATTTAGAATCTAATTCTACTCTACAGAATCGAAAACAGTAACTTCAACATAAGCGGACGAACAGATTGGCGAACAGTCAGATCCTTTCACACTGTATGAACCATCTTTGTACATCGATCAAACCCAGTGATCAGACAGGCAAATAGGCAAACACCTAAGAGCTTTCAGACTGCTGTAGCCTCAACACTCTTCGGTGTGTGTGCTTAAACTGAGGGAGGAAGACTAAAGACAGCTATGCTCCGCATGAATAAGATGCTTAAATATATACTCACATAAACCATTGGCAAAGTAATCACTGAATTATTACTTTGTCATTCAGTAAACATTCAGTGCCAGAGTAACTGATGATTCAATTACTGAGTCAATCAGTCAGTAACTTAGAGACAAGATAATCACTGACTTATCACTTTGTCATTGTTCAGTGATTACTTTGCCAATAATTTTAAGGTGAAATCAATTCAAAATAATATCTCAGAGAAATGTCATTAAGGGAGTTTAATAGACAGTATTTTATTTTATTTTTTCAAACGTGACACATTTTTAAAATAACTATAATTACAATATTATTTAAAAACAATTGTGGTAATGATTCTGTAATCAAGCAGCATCTGGTGTCCAAAATGGGCCTCTTGTCCTAGAAAACTACAATAAATAAAGTTTTCCAAGAGCAACTAATTCAAGACACTCTCTGGTGGCCTGTGGGGTTTTCTACATGATGGAGCATTGTGTCGGAAAGCAAAAGTGATAAAACTGCTCAAAATCTGATCTTGAATCTTGTAGATCAGTTCTCAAAAAGCAACAAAGAAAAGCAAATCAGCGATCCGTGATGGGCGTTAAGCCATGCATATTAAAACGAGAATGAGTAGGTTTTCAGCCCAGACATTAACATCAACCAGGACAGAGTGAAGTCCAGCAGAGAGAAAGAGCCTTTCAGGTGAGACGGCCAGAAACTCTCAACAGGTGACCTTCAAATCCTCAAGCTTCTTATCATTTCAGGTTTGAGAAAAATGCTGCGCTCATAAACCCTGAAAGCATCACAATGATTAAAGGTGTGCATGTGTTGTAGCTTGATGAGCCCTTGGCTCATTAAGCTACCGTTTCCATGGTAACTCAGCCGATAAATATCAGAGCTCCTTCTAATAGATGAATCGATAAAACGGACACTGTGCTAATGACCAGGTGGTCATAGTAGGAGGTGCTCATGTTTTGGAACCATAATGTTTTATTATTTAGACTAAGCTCATGTGGTTTAGATGATTTTATTTACAAAGGGCATCGGGTTTCTTATTGAACAAACTTAGTTAAATGTTTTAATGAAAAAAAAACAAGTTGCGTTTAAGAGAGGAAATTCTTCAGGGCTTGAGTAACTATTTCCTGAAGCACATCCAAGTGTTATATAATTCAACATAGCATTTTGATCCAGTTTTTTTATGGTTAGCTGTGCTTAATGAGACATTTTCGCTAAGCTAATGAGAATAACACAGATCAACCTTGATTAAAAACACCACCAGCTAATCACAGTTGAAATGCTATAAAAATAACCTGGATGGGTCCAACGGCATTTATGGCAACCGAGTCAACTGCAAAACCAACAGACAGCCAGAGGTCGACGGACAGAGCTTTGATAAAATATATCCACTCTGAGCACAAAAAGTGTTGGTTTCCACACGGCAGGGGTAAAAACTGCAAAGAGAGTAGACCAGAGCAAGTTCAGCAGAACTTTTGACGGTAATTATCCTCACCAGTTTTTAAGGCAAAGATGAGGTCGTCAAACTCCTGCGACTCCTCGTCTGTGGTGACCAGGTTGGTGTTGATGAAGCTTCCCTCTGTGGCGTACGTCTCCATCGCAGGGCTCGGCTTGAACGCGCTAGTGGGCTGAATGCTGGTCCGCAGCGACGACGGCTCCCAGTCTGCTGAAATCTGCAGAGTAACAACATCATTTCATGAAGACTCTTAGAAATCCCACAACATTTTACATAAATGTCCGGAGGCCTCCACCAGAAAACTGAAAGTGAATTTTAAATAAGAGTACTTCAACAGGAAATGCTCCTTTAGACATGCATGTGGCTGATCTAACACACGATAAACGCTGCTCAACAGTATTTTCAGGCTCCAGAGTTAAATCCAATAGAAAACCTGTGAGTTGAGCAGGAGAGGAGAGAAACTAAAAGCCCCTAAATTCTGGACCATCTAGAGAAATTGTGCCAGGAGGAAAGTTAATGATCTGCCTTTATGTGCTCCAAACCCGTGAAATGTTACAGAGGACTATGAGTCCAAAGATATCAAGGTCTTAACAGCGGGTGTTGGTACCAAATCTGTGGTTCTGATCACTTTGCCAGAAAAAATAATGGATTTGCTAAAAACTGAGTTTTGGTTTGTGATTCCTTTGCTACTGACATTCGTTTAAAGTTTATCATAATAAGTTTAATCAAAAGCTAAGGCTCTACTATCTCTATTTTTCTGCACTTTATTTCAACACTTTGCCAGGACCGGACTAGAGGTCTTCCTTCTAAGTAACTCATTGTTAACTTTGATATTAACTGCATAGTTTTATCCTCATTTGTAAATCATTATAAAAAACAACAACAACCAAATGTGTAATCATTAAACATTAAACATTAAGATACATAGAGTTGCTATTGACAATGCTGCTTAAAAAAAACATATTGAAAAAAAATTAAGCTACTTTGAAAAGCTTTAAAATTATTACCATCATTATTTTTCAAAACATTTATTATATTTTTTCATATTATAAAGATGTGTTTAAGTATAAAAAACACTCCCATCAAATTTTAACCTTAGGTGGGACAGCAACAGAGAAAACCCAGGCAGGAGTTTGAGTCACACTATGGCCACGTCTGTCAGTTGCGTAATTATGAAAGTGATGAGTGAGGGTCATGCAGAGTGCATGCAGGCCGGCGCCCGGGGTCAGAGCACGTTCACAGGGCGAGTAAGCTCACTGGGTTTAGGGTTTCACACCGAGTCCACCCAGCATGACAAACGGACATTTCCAGCACATTGGAGAGGAAAAAAAAAAGTTTCATGTTGTTTTTTCATTTGAAGACTCAGTCATATTTATACGACAACATAAGGAGGAATGCATTTTTATTTTAATGATCAAAGCGTTTTTTCTGGTCAATCTCCATCAGATGACTGCGTCCATCTTGTTTGACTGTGGTCCTCATAGGTCCATGACTGCGTGCACAAGCCTGCAAGCCCCGCTGGGTTCTGACCGGTACAGAACCTCCCTGTGAGGTGAATTAAGCACCACCAGGCACCCCAAATGTGTCATATCCCCCCTTCATTAGAGGCAGACTCGACGGCTCCCATTAGTTGTTTAAATCAGACAATGTTCTAGTCCTTATTTTAAATTCACTCATGAGACTGTCTCATTGAAGGCTTGTTTGTCTGCCCTGTTTTTTGTTGTTGTTTTGTTTCTGACCATGTCGTTGCCAAATCTCAGAAGGCCAGTGTGTGCTCTCATGAATAAAATACGATTGCGTGAGCAGAGAGAGACTCTGAGAAAGAAAAAAGGGAGGAGAGAGTTCCCAGGAGTCTCATCGTCCCCCCCCCCGCCACCACCTGATTCTCGCTCCATCTCTCCTTATAGGGTATTCTCTTGGGAAAAGTCGCTGAAGAGTTGCCACAGAAGTGCTGCACGCCTGTGTGAACGGAGTGTTTTTACACGGGCTCGTGTGCAATGTGCCAGTCTGACACAAAGGTCAGAGGAGGAGCCGATGTGGGAAGACTTACAGACACACATCCACACATTACAGCGAGTACAGACTGTAGCGAGACAAGGGGCAACGGGAAGGGAGGCTTTCAGCAAGGAAGTATGAAACGTTGTTTGTGGAGCCGAACAATAACCAAATGGAGCCACGGCAATGAGGGCATGGGAAAATCAACCATGAGAGAAAATAAAGCAAAATAAGACTTAAGAGAAATCAAACAAAATTGTCTTCTTACATTAAGAGTGAAATTACTGTAAAGCCTTTGTCAAGCTGCACTTTTATAAAAAACAGATTCCTGTTCATACCCTAAGGACTAGGGGTGATGGCGAGGCAGCCGTCCAGCTTCAAGAACCTGGAGAAACACCACCAGCGATAAATCGCTGGAATAAATAAATACGAGTCCTCGTCTAGTCTAGTGGCCAGCACGTAAAAATAAAATAAAATAAATAGCCGTGTTGGTGGAGATTTGTACCTCGTGCAAATAAAATTTAATTAGAGGTTCCCATAAAATCTGATCAATTTAAAACTAAAAGAAAAATGGAATAAGAGCGAGCCCGTTTCATGTGCTCAGAACAATCAAGAGTGCCAACCAGTCATTTTGTTGAAAAAAAAAACAAACAAAAAAAAAACCCAGCGCTTTCTCCTAAACTGGATAAATTATTCAAATTAGAGGGTGATTTTAATGAATGTGTAAAGTTATAGTGTTTACACATCTTTAAGAAGGAGGCCCATACGTGTGTGTGTGTTATCCGTTTGGGATGACAGATGAAGGTCTGTTTACCTCTTCCATGGCGCTGATGAGATTCTGGGTTGATTTGCTGATGTCGCTTCCAACAGCTGTCGGTCCCCCGGCTGGAAAGGTCGAATCAGGGCGGTCGTGGCCATTCATCTCCACAGTGTAACTCGCTTTAGTCGGCCAACATAACTGGTTGTGCATGACGAAATACACTGCAAACACATACAAGCCCTGTAAAAAAAAAAAAAAAAAGGAAGAAAATTAACATTAGAAAACTGTATTGCATATGCTAAAACATAGAGGAAGGTTTTCTATCCTAACTCTGTTAAAGGGTTACTTCATCCGCGGGTCATGACATCATTGGCATTTGCGTTTCCTCCACTCCCACGTCATGACCAACATTTTCTCAGACACCAACACCGGGCTGGGAATTACAGCAAAACACCAGAACGCCAAATGCCACAAGTATTCCCGGCATTTCGCAACACTCAACAAGATGTAATGACGGCTGAGAGGGTCACGACATGCCAAAACAAACTGTAAATGTGTCTTAGCACGCACGCCGCACAAAGACGGGATCCATTTTCAACCAGGAAACCCATGCAAACACGCAGAATGTCAAGTTTAAATTTAAAATGTACGCTTTTCGGCTCTCATGGTGAACAGCTTTGTCTGGGTTTTTAACGATCCACCTTAACCCTCCTGTTGTTCTCGGGTCATTTTGTCCCGAGGACAACAGGAGGGTTAAGCTCAAATCTTGAAAAATCATGAAAAATAAAAAATAAAAAAAAAATAAAAATGTTGAGTTCAACCAAGCACAAAAAGTTAGCCTGGAGCTGCAACATTAACTCTCCCATAAAGTAATCGACATCGCTAGATCTTCCCCGGAGGTCTCAGACACAGAATTAAACACATCATAGGCAGTTGCGGTCAATATTACCAGGAAAGAAAAAAAACAATAACCATAACTGGAAAGTGCTCATTTATGGGAACACTGTGAAACGCTGCACAACAGCAAACAGATGTAAAACACATGAAAGATCTCGCAGGTCATCGGTTTATAAGTTCAAACTTAAAGTAATAATAAGAAAAGAAGAAAAAGAGCTAATCCATGGCGTATAAAAATAACCACTGATTTAACATAATTATCAGAATAACACAGGAGATTGGATCTCTTTGTGTTAGAAGATGTGCTCAGTGGCCTGCAAAGCAACTGAACTAGCATAACTTCTTCCATACTTTATACCTGCTGAACAAGGACATTAACCCACTTTTGTATCATCAAATCAAACATGCTAAACAAAAGGTGTCAGATGTGACCTTAAGTCTGGTAGCTCATTTTGTTATCTACATGTGGGTGATTATCACAGAGCACTTGCCAGCCTGAGAATCAGGCTTTACAACCAGAGGCCTGTTATGCAAGTGTTCCCTGAGTGAGAGGAGACTTTAGAGATGGGAAGCACGATGCTGAGAAAAGGTCAGAGGGCACGGAGGGCGTTTTTAAAAATTTATTTCGAACATGATAGTATAGTAGTATAAAATCATGCACAATAACAAGGAATGCAGAAGACTCATATTAGGAAGAAGTTAGAAACTTACGAACTCCTACCACATAAAACTCATACGATGTTTTCAGATGGACCCTCATTAATAAATCCAATCCAAAATAAAAATAAACAGGTTAATTCATTTCCCATTTTATCTGGGTTTTCATATGTCCAAGTATATAGATCCACACCCACACCCTCATATGCGTTAGCCTCAATTTACATATACACATTAGTGCTATCTCTCACACATCTTGTGAAAACGACCTCCTTACATTTCCTTTTAAATTGCATTAAATTTTGACTTCATTTTAACTCCTCATTTAACTTGCTGCATAACTTTTCCCCATGAATTGAAATGCAAAAGCTCTTTTTTTGATGTTCGTAAACTACGAATCCTTACGTTGGAAGGAAAATATAAGGAATAGGAACATAAATATCTGGGGAAGAGAATCAGACCTGAATATCGTGATGGGTATAAACTATTTATAGAAAGGAAAGTGGAAAAACACGAACTTGTATTTGACACGTTGCACAAACACACATGGTTTTTAAAGGGATTGAAAACAAATAACTGCCTTTTCTGTTCAACTCCCTTGAATCAGTTCTTTGCAGATCTGCATTTGGCTGCAATTACAGCTGCAAGTCTTCTGTGGCATGTCTCTAACAGCTTCGCACATTCCTCTATTCAAAATACCTCAAGTCCAATTAAATTAAACAGAGGGTGTTTTCTATAAATTAGTTTTTAAGCCACAATTTCTCAGTCCCATTAGAGTTGACCAACTTCCCTGCTCCTGCTCCAACAAGCCTCCCCACAGCATGGCGCCGGCACCAGCCTGTTTCCCAGTAATAGTTGCATGTGATGAGTTGAGTTTATTTTTTTTCCACTCTTTTGTTTTAGATTGAAGAAGTGCACAACTAATAGTTGTTGTTGGCAGATTCTTTCGCCTAAGATGTGGATTTGTGGAGCTCTTTTTGGACGGTCATGATCTTAGGTGGTTTTGAAGCTTTTTCTAATTTTCTGATAAGGATCAAGCAGATAAGGATGAGATGCTTAATGCTTTGGTCAATGTTTTATAACGTACCACTGCTTTAAACCTCTGACTGTCTCTGTTTGTTCTCAAACAAACCTCTGAGTCCTTCATAGAAGACCAAAATTTCAAATGATATTAAAATATACAGATACGAACTTTACTTAGTAAGTAGGCAATTGGTGGCAATGGAAAAGAGTTTTAGAGTAAAAGACGACTGAACACAAATTCTCTTTTCCAGATTTATATTAGTAAAAAATTAAAAAAAAAAAAAATTCCATTCACATCACAGTTATGCAATGCCTTCTGTATCTATTTCATAAAACAGCAATAAAGTTTGTATTTGTAATGTGACGAAACCTTACAAAAGTTCAAGGGGCACTATAAAAACAAAACAAACAAACAAACAAACAAACACGGCTTTACTGCACTTGTTGATGCAGCATTACTCTACCTGACCTCTTAAAGTGATTATGATGGATACGAAACATTTTCCATGATCATAAAAGAAAAAGAATCGCTTCCCTTAAATCTTGCATGGCTCTGACACGTCAGTGATTTTTTTTTTTTTTTTTTGTGTAAAAAGTTTCCACACACATATCAGGTATCCTATTCTTAGATAAAGATTAAATAAAAAAAGTGCGGATTGGTAATAAATCATTATGAAAACTGTTACTGTTATTTTTGACGGCTGCCGACATAACGAGGAAAGGTTTACGGGCAGAACGAGGAGATAATGAGGGGCGCTGCTATAGAAATTCGATTATCTCCTTCTAATTCAGCCTGGTGAAGCGCAGATGTACGGCTGAAAAACAGGGCGGAAGGAGGAAGGAAAAGGTGCAGCCTTTAGATTTAAAGGTCAGTTATTTTCGGCGTAACGTTGAATGCGATTAGCTTCTCAGTCCAGTACCGTTAACTGTGCAGCTGGCAACCAGTACTCGTTTTTACGACATTCAGTAAACGCAGAGCTCTGAATACTCTGGAGCACGAATACACACACACACACACACACACACACACACACACACACACACACACACACACACACGCATGCACAGCTGTAACATCTGCAACTGTTTAATAATGTTCCGTAATTAGCAGCAGGGAGGTGTGCCTTACAGCTACATGAAGTAAATATGGAAAATTCTTCGAATGGAAAGTTCACGGCATGAAGAAAACAAGAACCACTCTGCAACACCTTGCAGCTGTGACCAACACTCTAATAACTTCCAACCACACAATGGAAACGAAAACCTGAAAAAAAAAAAAAAAAAAAACGAGGTTGTGAGTTTAGAAGCAGAAAGTTGAATAATAATGCTGCCAGAGAGCGGTGGTAACGTAGCAGACTTGTCTGACGATGTATCATTTACGTTAATTGATAGAGATATACTTACCCTTTCTCGTGAATTCGAAATTTATTATGTACTTGCTCATTGTGTCCAGAGTTTTTGATGTAAACAAACATCAGTCTTTACCACCATAGTCTAATTTTGTACCTACATTTTTTTTTCTCTTTCAGTCTGTAAAATCTCCCACTGTCACAAGCTTTACCAGTGCCCCCCACCTACAGCTGCATGAATTAGGGTATCTCCTGAGAATAAACATACATTCAAAAGCCACAAAATACAGATTAGAGCCTTTTTTTCCCCTCAATTCAGCAGCATCTCAACAAAGTCCCACGCTTACTTTCCTTTTAATCAATATCTTCAGTCACACGGTTTAGCTTTGGGGCTTTTCACCTCTTCTTGCTTTTATGAATCCTTGTTTGTTCCTGCGTCAAACTTCAGAGGCCCAGCGCTTTGAAGCTGCACTTTTGCTGAAAATCAATCTTCAGCTACAGCGAGTATATGTTTTTATTTTCTTTTACAGAAGAGAGACGTTGCCCACATCTTGACGCTAGAGGTTGACCCGCCTGAAGAGAAGGGCAATCTGAATCTAAAGGGAATCTATTTAAACTGCGACGAACCCTTTAAATTACATTATCCTCCTTGCAATTTTGTGCTACAGTGTCCCTGAGTGCATCAGGCTCTCAGTGGCAGGAAGAGTGAAGGTGGAAAATGAAGAAGCTTCTGGTGGCTTTAGTCAAGCGCAGCAGACAGGCCAGGGATGAAGCTGTGGAGACGTTTAGAGCAGGGTTACGTTACGAAACCGTCGAAACCTTTAAGCATCTCATGGAGAACTGTTGAATCCATCAATCAAAAACCAGAAGGGCATCACATTTTATCCTGCGAGTACAACATTTTTACATTTATAGAATAGGTTTCTGCTTTTTCTCAGAATAGGTTTCTGAGGAAGCAGAAACCTACTCTATTCTTTTAGGAAGAATCCCAGCTTCCCAGCTTCTTTGTAAGTCAGATGAATCAGATTCATTTTAAAGTCTCTGTATTTCATACCTGTCCACTTCAGGACTGAAATTAATGTGCTCTATTGTAACACCTTCGCAATGGCGCCTACAGTATCAATGCCACGTATTACTGTGGATTTTAAGGTGCTTATCGTATTTGTTTTTGTCCCGTATGTCCTTCGTTCTCTCAAGTCTTATATTGATATGAAAAAGGAGGGAAAAAGGCATCTTTTGCTTTTTACAACCCTTCAGCTGTGGAAATGTTTTCCTTAGGACCTCAGAGCAGCTGACATTTTGGATGTTCCTGAAAGCAAACAAACTATTTAGTCTATAGCTATGTCATATCTCTTATGGTTAATTATTTTATTTCAAAGTGGGTTATTAAATATTTTAAGACTTTTTTATTAGCTGTTTTTTTTGCCACATAACTGTTCATTTTTAATAATAACGCATACATAAATACATACACATACATACATGAGCTCATGGTGATGTGAGATGATCAAACCATCCACATGAGGTCACAGAACCAAACAAAACTTGCCTGAGCTCACAAACCATCGCAAAGTGCGACATTGACTGCTGGCGCTGACATCATCTCGTCTTCCTGGTCACTGTGCCAACAGGGCCAGTTCGTTTCGGTCAACACTGTTGCCTTTAGCATGTGAA